AGAGAGAGAGAGAGAGAGAAAAGGTGCGGAAGAATCAACATTACGAAAAAAAAAAATTAATGTGCGACTTTTGTGGAGCGCCCTCTTTGTCAAGCTTGCAGCTTGTGTATGCATCTATAATAGGCAGGGAATATAATGGCCATTAAACGACTGAGAGTTAAATTCGTTGTGAGTTTTACTTGAATATCACCAGCTAGCGTGTTCACACGTAAACAACAAAGTATTTATAAGTTTATTAACCCCTGTCTATATCCAGACACACACACAAATTACGCTTTACTTATTGATAATTATACTATATTTAATCTATTAATTAATATAATGATATATATGTTTTACTTAGCAAAGTATAAGTATTTTATATTTTTTTAAAAGCTCTCGCATTAAATAAATTTAAACAAGTTATTTTTAAGACTATTTTTATGTTTGTATATTTTGTCTGTATAAGCTTACTATCGAGATCTGAAAATCTTTAATATGCCCGAATTCAGCACTGACCCTACCCCATGTTTTTAGGCAATTAGAAAAATCAAAACAACACAAAAGTGGTTGTTAAGACATATGTTAAAGGTGCTATTTGCCTCTCATGCATAGTTCTAAAAATAGTCTTTCTCTCGGTACGTATACATAAGGAAGACTTCTAGCCAAGTTTTAATGTCGTGCCAGTCCTATTAGATATAACTTGATGTTAGAAACACACCTAGCAACGTTAATAACTAGATCGCGCGCAGTGCATGAAGACACGGGAAAGACTTTTGTTTATTTTTTGTAGTTTTACACTTACCTGACTATTTGCAGCTTTATAGCCGCATGGAGCCTTACACTGCCTGTCAGAAATATTATTTAGCCTTTTTTTTTTTATCAATTTGAGATTGGTCCCTTACCAACAAATTAATGCTGTAGATAGGGTATTTTACTTGCTGTAGTTATACATGTAATTAAATTGGCTAACAATATGAATTAAATTTTTACGTGTCGTTTTCTGAGCTCGACTTTAATATAGCTGTTCTTATTTTCAACAGTTTCAGTGTAAAGAAAATGAATAAAAAATATATATGTATAAGAACAATATTGTAGTATTTCTTTTGTGCCTTCACTAACCCAAATGAAGTCGCCACCAAGAGATGAATACATGATAAAAACGCTTTACAAATACGTGTTTACATATATTCTCATTTCTACACCAAATATAAATTAAACTAAATGGAATCTGGATTACTGAGAGTGACAGTCCACATTCCTATACTTAAAAACTGAAAACAGCAACAAACAAACAATCTGAATTATTTTCGTTAAACTAGATTCTACAAGACAAAGTTTCTAAGAAAAGTTATTGTTTTCTACATAATATATCCATCTGTAAACCTGTGTGTATATATATATATATATATTACTTATGTTCATGAAAATATTAACCACTTAAAAGATCATAGTAACAGAATAAAACATAGGAACTAGCGGAGAATAAGAGACATACTTTTATTTCAAATTTCTCTTTTCTACACAGATTGATTTCCTGTACCACTACCCTCGTGAAGATAGCGGTTTCAGCACTTGTTACGTAACTTTTAAAACGTCAACGTGCCTTCGAGCTAACTATCATGGCTTCTCGGTAAGTGGGCCTATCCGGTTGATGAACCCAAGCAGGGAACAAGCTTTCACTTCGACTGAACGGATTGCCCATGCTGCCTGTATTTTCCTAGGGACTCTTTATGCTAATATCATACACACCTAATGGTTTAACTATGATTTACCTGTACGTTGGTGCTTCTGACACTAATAATAATGCGCTTAAAAGCGTATCATGATAAGGTGAGTAAGTAGGCCTAGCAAAGTGCGTGATTCAGGAATCACTATTGTCATGAGAAAGGTCACTAAAGAATAAGTGTCAGTAGGCCTACATTTCTGGTGTTTTACTAATGACGTGGGCTTAGATGTCTAAAACATCTCAAACAATGACTACAGAGTAAAATAGTCGTTATATTTTTGTTTGGTTTCATATACAGTTTCTCAATCGTCCTTTTGATTATTATCTACAAATGTTTATCTATTTAGAACTATGTAGGCCTAATTTCAAAAACCGAAATTCCACCACCCAGAACAGATGTATGTACACGTAAAATTACCATAATAATGATTTTGGAACGTCATTTAAAGTTCTTACAATAAAGCGTGAAGAACATCGATATTTCGACATTTTACTTTGATAAAAATGACAGGTGCTATTGAACATGTATATAATTATTTAGCAGACGAAGAAAAACTGTATTAGATAATAGTAATGGCTTACATATGAAGAAAAAATATAAACTTATATCAAATATCTATAAACAACATTGTGTATAGCGTTTTAATACAGAAGACTACTTACTAAGAACAACAGCTCCAACAAAAAGACTAATTGTAACACTGATGAATGTGGTAAATTTCTGAAATAAAAAAAGAGAACATTAAAACAATTGTGGCGAACTCATTACAACCATAGGCCTTTTCAATTTCATTATATTCCTACTTCAAATAATGTCACTAGAAGGTATTAAGTACAAGTCTTTATAATAATAATAGGATAATCACAAGATATTGATTTTAGAATTTATAAGAATTTTCATTATAATGCTACTTAAATTAATGTCGCCAAATGATATTCAATATAAATCTTTAAAAATAAGATAAATGCATATAGGATCACATTATATAAGATTTAAAATCTATAGAGAAAGATAAATCGAAAATTGCCAATAGAAATTTAATCTTACAATAAATAAAATAATTTTGTTTTATCTTAGAGAAGAGAGTTCACATATTAAAGGCTTCATCACTCGTGCCCAGTACATTTTACCCAAAATTTTCAGATTCAGTATTCTTATACTATTTATATTGCTGTGATAATTTGTCAAATATCTAGGCTTAGAAGTGTCCTTCGCTTCCAGTGATTTATGAGTGAACCTATAGTTCACGCTCGTACACTGTGTAATAAATTACACAAGGTACTACAAGTTTCAACCTAAGACTCAAGTTAGTAACATCATTCACCCATTGTAACGATATATATATATATATATAATGGACGTTACACTACTTTTGTCATATAATAAGACTTGAGGGTAGGTTGGTAGAGATTTTGATGAGTAATAAAATCGATTCGGGTATACGCGCACCCCATACTTCGTATTGCTGGTTCACAAAAATATGGCTAATAAAAAGGAAACAAACAAGTATAATAAAACAAATTTAAATTTTATCAAGACAAGTGGGGATCGATATATAGGTAACTTAGCTAGCTATAGTAATATAGAAAGTTTTAATGCTACTAAAAGTATTGAAACAAGAAAGTCAAAATTACAAAAACTGACTTACTTAAAATATAATGTTTTTTATCCCTACTTTGGCTCAAACTAACATAATTACAGTGGTTTGCCAAAGTAGGGATAATATATCGATCCCTACTTGTCTTTATAAAATTTAATTATTTTATTATACTTGATGTATCAAACAAGCGTACATTGTATTAAATATCTGATATGCCTGTCAGAGGGTTTCTGCAGTAAACTCATCTGATGATTCCTTTAGTAATCCTCAGTTGAATCTATGTATTAATGTTTATTTTTAGTAATCCTCAGTTGAATCTATGTATCAATGTTTATTTTTAGTAATCCTCAGTTGAATCTATGTATCAATGTTTATTTTTAGTAATCCTCAGTTGAATCTATGTATCAATGTTTATTTTTAGTAA